AATTACTCGTTTAAAGATATAAGATATTTTCTTCCAATTTTTAAACTTTGAATGGCTCTCCTGTAATGTTCCAAAAACGTAGCTTCAACCAAATAGTTTTTCACCTATCCATGTGTTTTCAATGTAGGTACATATTATATTTTTCAGTTTTTCAATATGGAACACGATAATGGGGTCGTCGCTACTGACCATGGCGTGGGGCGTCGAGCGGGCTGGTCTCCCGGCCGCTCTGGTCCTGGTCGCAGTAATGGCGGCCTTATGTCTTTACACCGCCTACATATTGATCTCAGTTAACACTTATCACGGTGAGATATTTGTTTTAATTCTTCTTTAGTTTAGCAAATTTTTTTTTATTTTTTTAATGCCCGAGCAGGCATACGAGCATACGGCCCACCTGATGGTGAGTGGTTATCGTCGCCCATGGACGTCAGCAATGCCAGAGGCAGAACCAAGCCGCTGCCTACCGCTCGCTTATGCTGGGTATTCGATCTTACATTTTTTTTATTGCCTTTGTAGCCAGATGAGCATACAGCCCACCTGATGGTGAGTGATTACCGTCGCCCATGGATTTCAGCAATGTCAGGGGCAGAGCCAAGCCGCTGCCTACCGCTAAAATATCTTAACACATTGACACACTTAACTTACTTAACACATTGTGTTCCAGTAACCACTTAGCACCAGGTTTTTTTTATTGCTTAGATTGGTGGATGAGCTCACAGCCCACCTGATGTTAAGTGGTTACTGGAACCCATAGACATCTACAATGCAAATGCGCCAACCATCTTGAGATATAAGTTCTAAGGTCTCAGTATAGTTACAACGGCTGCCCCGCCCTTCAAACCGAAACACATTACTGCTTCACGGCAGAAATAGGCGGGGCGGTAGTACCTATCCGTGCGGACTCACAAGACGTCCTACCACCAGTGTACTGTGTGGGCTGTGAGCTCTTCCACCCATTTCAACAATAAATGAACATGGAGGATCCACTATTTAGCCGCCTATCGCAAACAAATATCTGTGTTCCTGTAGGTAGCGACACGTGCTCGGTGCAGGCGTTGTGCCGGCTGCTGCTGGGCGGCTGGGCGGAGGCGCTGGCGCACGTGTTCAGCGTGCTGGTACTCCTCGGAGCGAACATCGTATACTGGATACTCATCACCAACTTCTTTTACTTCACCGTTAATTATTTTATAGGTAGGTAGGAGCCTATTGTTGTTGGTAAATTCGTATTTCCCTAGTCCAATTCCGTTTCCAAATTATAATTTGCGTAATTACTGGTCGTAGGATCTCTTGTGAGTCCGCACCGCCCAGCTTATTTCGGCCGTGAAGCAGTAATGCGTTTCGGTTTGAAGGATAGGGCAACCGTTGTAACTATTCTGGTACTGACTTTACGGCACGAAGGTAAAGTATTAATTATAATGTCCTTCTCAAGCCAATATGTGCGCTTAGCGGCAGAAATCGGCGAGACAGTGGTATCTATCCTTCTTCTTCTTCTTTTTCTCCACTGTATCCTATAAGGTCGGGTCGGAACAGCGAAATTTTCTATAATATCATCCTCTCTCTCTCTCATATCGTCATTCACACACCCCATTCTTGTCTTCTTCGGTCGACCTCTTCCCCCTCTACCTCGCACTACCATTTCCATACATCTCCTAGTCAACAACTCTGTGACAGCTCACCGGGTCGTAAGTGAGTTTCGGTGACTTTTATTTTTATTTTTTATAGCTTATATGTTTGTTGGACGAGCTCACAGCCCAACTGGTGCTAAGTAGTTACTGAAGCCCATAGACATCTAGAACGTAAATGCGCCACCCACCTTGAGGTATGAGTTCTAAGATCTCAGTACAGTTACTATTGCTGCCGCGCCCTTCAAACCGAAAGGCATTATTGCTTCACGGCAGAAATAGGCGGGCAATGTCTGGCATCATCTGAATAACTTTAACCCTTGCAGATCTAAGTGTGTCGAACGCAACTGAATACAACACGACCCTGCTATGTCCGAATCAAATAGTTAACGAGTCGTTAATGATTCCGAGCCCCGCGGAGGAGTCTCGGTACTGGGGGCTCCACACGACGGCGCCTCTATACACAGCCCTCATTGTCTTCCCGCTCTTAAACTTCAGAAACGTTTCGTTCTTCACTAAATTCAATTCTTTAGGTAAGTTTGAAGGTGTCATTAAAAAAAACTTGTATTCGAAACATGGCAACCCTTTGTTACTCGCCGGAAGTGACGAGAAACGTCAAAGTTTCCTTAAACCTTAAACCTTAAAGAGGAAAAGTTAAGCTTGCATTATTTATGCACAGCGCGTTATATGGGTACCACATTCCCAACTCTGTGGACAGAATGTAAAGCAGTCGACGTCGCCCAAAACACGTCATCTCAGATCCTCCCGATCCACTAACGGTGCTTTTAGGTACCTCAAGCACCGGTCACCGTTCTCGTCGAACCCCTCGCTTGCGACGAAGGGCTCGACGAGTAAATTAACCCTCAGACACAGCCCAGTGAGTTTCTCGCCAGATCTTCTCAGTGGGTCGCGTTTCCAATCCGGTGGTAGATTCTGCGAAGCACTGCTCTTGCTAGGGTTCGTGTTAGCAACGTCGTCAGGTTTGAGCCCCGCGAGCTCACCTACTAGCTAAGGTTACGCTGCAATAGCTCAAGGTTCACGCTCAAGGCTATCAGCTTAGATAGGAAAAAAAGGGGTATTGCGGTGAATAAACCTACAACGCGTTTTCCTATAACGCGAAACCAATCCGTCGTGTGCCCATCGATACTGCAGTATACTGAATCACTGGCTAGCACATTCATGATGTCTCCCACAGGAACCCTATCGGTGTTCTACCTTTTGATCTTCGTAACGGTCAAAGGCTACGCGTGGGGCATCAACATGGGCGCGCTGTGGTCAGAGACCCACGCCGCCAGGAACGCGGCCGTTCTGAGCGGCATGCTGGCCCTATCTTTCTACATCCACAACATCATTATAGAGATCATGAGTAATAACGCAAGGCAAGACAAAAATGTGAGTATCCAAGTAGCATTTGTTTTATTGCTTGTAGCCCATAGATATCTACAACGTAAATGCGCCACACACCTTGAGATATGAGTTCTAAGGTCTCAGTATAGTTACAACGGCTGCCCCACCCTTCAAACCGAAACGAATTACTGCTTCACGGCAGAAATAGGCAGGGCGGTGGTACCCACCCGCGTGGACTCACAAGAGGTCTAACCACCAGTATCTTAGAACTTAGAACGTACCTACATCGTAACTAACTTTCCGTCTGATTCATCAAGGCTTAGTATTGAATATACACATTTGTATACTACAATGCAAATACTCGTATAGTATTTGTAAGCTGCATAAGCACATATTTGCTACGCAGCGGTTTGGCTCTGTCCCTTTTGCTGACGTCTGTGAACGACGGTAACCACTCACCATCAGGTGGGCCGTATGCTCGTCTTCGAATTCGAAACAATTCGAAATACCTATTGCAATAAAATTTCAATTCAAGGCAATTTCATACTTTAACCCCTATTATCATATTGAAAAATGTATTTTCCATTTGACATGAGATGATTGACAGGGCAGGGACCTAACCATAGCCTTCGTGCTGGTCACGATCACGTACACGATGGTTGGCGCCGTCTTCTACGTCTGCTTCCCGCTCGCCAAGTCCTGCATTGAAGACGTAAGTGATTTCGCTAAAATGATATGTTTTAAAAGAATATACCGTCCAGTACTCGAAGCGTCCAGAAAAAGTTATCAGGAACTAGCGCATGAACCTCCATCTTCCAATCGATGTTCTCTGACTTCGATGACCTCTTGTTGTCACAAATTATTTTTTATAAAACACTAGACCCGGTAGACTTCGTAGTGCCTCAATCGATAAATAAAAGACCTAAACTTTTGTATAAAATAAAATTAACACAAACAAAAGGAATCCGTCCGCCGGGGGACACATCAAAGGAAAAACAAAATTGTTTATTTTTATTTAATTCCGAGCATTTTCATATTTATCTACCTTTTAAACCTTCCCTGGACAGCAAGTAATTTAAGACAAAAATTAGCCAAATCGGTCCAGCCGTTATCGAGTTTTAGCGAGACCAACGAACAGCAATTCATTTTAATATAATTATATAGATATATAGAAGATTAAAATACAAACAACGCGCGAACTTAACGCTCAATCGATTGCGACGTTGAAGTGTCAGCAGTCACATTGTTAGTAGAACAGACGGCTGCCGGGGAAAAGCTTGGGCGAAGCCTATGTCAAGTAAACATCAGAATCTGCCAATTGAAAGAAGGTGATATCGAAACACTTGATAATTGTAACCCAAATAATTGGTAATCTGAGCATTACTACATAGGCAAACAATAAAAAAAGGATAAATTCATAGTAAAAATACTTTTTTGAAACTATCTTTCAAAGTGATACTTGAATTAATCATAGCTACATGTGGCTATATGGTATGAATTCCTTAATTCGGCCCTGGCCCTTATCGCACCCACGTCATGGCAAAACTTAAAACTGAGTATCATAGACACTGTATACAAAACTTCGTCTCTATGCCTGACCTTTGACCTTTATTTTACCATAACAATGGAGTGCCATCGAATGAAGTGAATCAACAGGAATAAAATTATTTTAGGAAAAGACATGGTCGTAATTTAGCGTCCAAGATTTGACCCAAACAAACTTACACATGTACACGATAGTTTTTCAAAAAAATTACCCTAGCAAAATCGGAATGTCCCATAACTTCAAACATTTTTATTTTATTGAAGTGGAACTTCTATATCGACGTAGGGAGAAAAAAAACGTATGTAACGTTTTTCGGTTACGCGCCATCTTAATTTCTGTACATTTTTCCGTTACGCGCCATGTTTATTTTATTTCTATTTAGTTTGTTATCAACAGATGTCACTGCACGTAAATTCAACTTCCTGAATCGTGGTGATGAGATGTTACACAGTTGATAGTCGTTCTCGTATTTCTCTTGCTAAGTCATACCTACCCCGCGTCGGGATACAGTGATCATGCAGGCGGTTCTCCCGGGGTGCAGCTGCTCCATTGCACTGCGGAGTGGTTGATCCTTGCGATTATTTTTATATTTTATAAGTTTTCAATTCTACCGTGTGTGACTTGCAAACGCACACTTTTTTTTATATAGCATATGTAGATGTGAAATGTTACATGATTAAGGCAGACATTTTAAAATCAAGTTAAATTGAAAAACACCAAGTGTATTTTGAAATTATTAAGTAGTACTATCGTCTATAATTATTAATAAAATATTTTGTATCTCAGGAATGTGGACAAGATAGGATCATAATAACAAATTACATTATTATTTTTGCAACGTTTCGGTCTTTTATTAGACATTCATCAGGCATCTGAAAATTACACATATTAATAACCAACAATATAAAAATAACAATTGTCAACACTACAATATTTACCATAATATGAATTCCAACAATCACTATCTTACACGGCAACTGTGCAAGTCTAATAAAAGACCGAAACGTTGCAAAAATAATAATGTAATTTGTTATTATGATCCTATCTTGTCCACATTCCTGAGATACAAAATAGTTTATTATTAAGTAGTTTTATCGCTTTTTCGTTTACCTTTTTCCCCAATTCCGTGTTCGTTTTCAGAACATTCTGAACAACTTCGAGCGTCACGACGTAATGACCGCCGTGGCCAGGGTTCTGTTGCTCTTCCAGGTAAGTTCACACTTAAATAATACATCAGATGGTCGGGCGAGCTCACGGTTCACCTGGTCTTAAGCTACCGCAGCCCAGACGTAGCGTAGCGTAGTGTGGACTTTCTGTTTCTCCGCTTTGAAACTCACAGCTGCTCTTACGCAATTGGCAACACTGAGTATATATGTATATATGTATTTAATTTACAAATCGACTGTTAGTTTATGGACCAGTGTGCTTGTGCGAGTTTTTTAACGTTCTCGATAGCGTAAAAGTTAGCTCATATTTGTATGGAATGGGACCGTTTGCGTACGTTTGTCGCTAGGGGCGCTGTTCCAACTGCATGTTATATACAACATTGGGCTAACTTTTACGCTATCGAGAACGTTAAAAAACTCACACTAAACACACAGAGAACTAGCAAATTTCTAACACGTGTTTATTACTTACTTTTATTTACAATTCGAATAACAAAATAAAACGCAGATGAAAGCATGTTGAACTCAATAAAAACGATATTGTTTAACAATAGATTAAGATGAGTTTCTCGCCGGATCTTCTCAGTGGATCCTTATCTCGGTCTGTTGGCAGATTCAGCGGAATATTGCTTTAGCTAGGGCTAGTGTTTTTATTTTTTTATCGCTTATGCTATGGGTGGACGAGCTCAGAGCCCACCTGGTATTAAGCGGTTACTGGAGCCCATAGACATCTACGACGTAAACGCGCCACCCACCTTGAGATATAAGTTCAAAGGTCTCAAGTATAGTTACAACGACTCTTCAAACCGAAACGCATTACTCTTCACGGCAGAAATAGGCAGGGTGGTGGTACCTACCCGTGCGGACTCACAAGAGGTCCTATACCACCAGCAATTACGCAAATTATAATTTTGCGGGTTTGATTTTTATTACACGATGTTATTCCTTCACCGTGGAAGTCAATCGTGAACATTTGTTGAGTACGTATTTTATTAGATAGTACCCGCCTGCGGGATTCGAACACCGTTGCATCGCTAGATACGAATGCACCGGACGTCTTATGCTTTAGGCCACGACGACATCTTCCAGCGAATAGTTAAGGAGAGAACAATGCTGATTGAATCGACAGGTCGTGACGGTGTACCCGCTGGTGGCGTACATGCTGCGTACGGAGGCGGCCATCTTGTTGTCGTTGCGCGACACGCCCGCCCTTATGTTGCTCGTCAACGCGTGCATAGTTGTCATGTGCATATTGTTCGCGTGCTTCTGCCCTAACATAGGGACAATTATAAGGTAAGCGTTATGATTCAATCGTTTTAATTAATACGCTTTTATTAGCTTCAGACGTATGTAAAGGAATCTTTGAAAATGATTTTGACCCCCTTCAAAACGTCGGATTAACTCGCAATTTGATATACATACTTATTAAGGACCGATTATAATACAATATTTAAAAAAATACTTAAAAAAATTTGAAATTCAACTAAAAAATGAAAAATAAAATACGCATTTATAGAGAATCCAACAAATAGAAAATAAATTTTAATAAATTTGAATTAAAAATAGTGTAAAAAAAAAAGATTTTATCGTAAAAAAGGGGGGGGGGGGCGTTGGTATCTGTAGTTATAAATATTTTATGAACAGATATGAGTAGAAGGGTTATTTTGATAATATCCTGAAAATCACCCCACGCTTTTTTACAATAAAATCTTTTTTTTTTACACTATTTTTAATTCAAATTTATTAAAATTTCTTTTCTATTTTTAGTCGGATTTTCTATAAAAGCGTATTTTGTTAGTTTTTTTAAACTATAATTTATAATCGTAATGCCTTGATGGAATTAATGAGTATTATGATCACATGTTTGCATAAACTTTTATTTATTTAAGAAAACCGCTTTGGTATTTTTTTATTTTTTTTGGCTTTGATTGGTGGTAGGACGTTTTGTGTAGGGACCGCCATCCTGTCTGTTTCTCCCTTAAGCAGTAATTCGCTTCGGTGTGAAGGGTGGAGCAGCCATTGCACCATAAAAACCACGGAATAGATAAATAAGGTAACCTTATTTATCTATTCCGTGATAAAAACGAAGACTTAATTTGAAAGTTGGGTGGCGTTATTTACGTTGTTGATATCCATTGTAGGAGTGGGTGATATAAATCGTATATAGATTCAATATCTATATATCGCAGCAATATCGTTGAATCCGATATCGCCCCGCACGAAATCTATATATCGATATCAGCCGATCCACGATATTGCTCGATGTGATGCGCATCGCCATATCGGACCGATTCGTGAATCGAAATCTATATTTCGATATCAGCTGATACACGATATTGCTCGATGTGATGCGCATCGGCATATCGTACGGATTCGTTAATATCAGCAATATTCGTTTGGTTCGTATCGAATCGGCCAGAGTGAGTGAGCGCACGATAGGGATATCATGTGATGAATGAAACAGAAACAGGCATTATCCATACAATTGTAAACCTTATATTTAAGCTCATATGTCTGTAGATTATTCTTAGCGTATCAGCAGGATACAATTAAGGAAAGAAGTTTCAACTTTCGACCCTAACTTGAATGCAGTAATAGCCTATTTGCATCGTTGAATTTAATTTCACGCGCTTTGACCTTGAACTAGAATTTTTGGACAAGTGTTTATAAATACTTAAAAGTTTTTTGTGTTTGATTTTTAAAGTACACATTTTTCTATTTTTAGTTGAATCCAAATAATTGAGTTTATTTCTTGTGTTTGTATTAAACTTTTGAAATCTACACTCTTTTGGTATATTTTGTAATTTTAAATTAAGACACAAAATACTAAAAACTGAAAATAATGTAGCCAGTCCTAAGCCTGGTAAAAGCATGAAGGAAAGTTTTTTTGATATTTTTATTTTCATGTTCTTTTTATTACTTTAAGATCATATTATAAATTGATATCAGAAAACCAACCGTATAACGTTGACTTAAATCTATATCTACTACGATATTATATCAGCGTATCGTTTCAAATCTCAAATATCATGAATCGAGAAAATCTACTAGCATCCATCAATATATAGATTCAGAAAATATATAGATTGAATATCCGATATTGATCCTCGATATATAGATACGATTCGATCCGCGGCAAAACCGATATTACCCACTCCTAATCCATAGGCTCCGGTAACCACTTAACACCAGGTGGGAAGCGAGCTTGTCCAGTCATATATGAAATAAATAAAAATAAATAGGATAGTGGTACGCACAGGTGCGGGCTTACTATACGCCCACACATTCGACTCAGGCGACGTGGCAACGTAAAGCTGAAGTTGCCCGAAACATGTCTTATCGGATCCCCGAGATCGTGCTTTTAGGCCTCTATGCTTTTAGGTACACGGGCGCGCTGAGCGGGCTGGTGCACGTGTTCGCGCTGCCGGCCGCGCTGCACGTGCGCTCACTGCACCTGCGCGGCGAGCTCGCGCACTGGATGACGGCACTCTACTGTCTCCTCGTGCTCGCCGGGGCCGCCAACCTGCTAATGCAATTCTTCATTACCGAGTGACTGTTTTATTAAGTTCCAATAAAACATATCGACGCTTGAAAGGCAAACGTGACTGAGCGACAATACGTGAACTTTACAGTAGACTAATTTAAAGTTGAAATACCTGAAAACAATTCTATTTTAACGAATCTAGCTGTAGGATTGAAATGATTTTAATAGACCTAGAAATATATATTTTTTGCGCATCGAATTATTGCCTATCATTTATGTATAAAGCAGTTATTGTCGCTTAGTCACGTTTGCCTTTCAAGCGTCGATATGAGAACATATATGCACATACGGTGCAATAACGTCACTTATGCAAATTATGTAATTTTTCAGGAGTAACGTTGGAAAATTCAACATCTTATAATATAATATAATAATTATAATTATATATAATTCTTATATAGTTCTAGGATATAGAAATAAAATTATAATATTTAAACTACAACTTTAAACTTCATCAGTAAAAGCAAAACATCTCTCTCGTCTCACTAATAACTATTAAAAAAAATGTATTTTCCCATACTCATTTTAGTGTTAACAAAAATTGCCTAACGGCCGTTTTCAATAACCTATCTATCCCTAGTTTCGGTTACTAAAGATAGACAAATCTATATTTTTGTCCTTACTTACGTTCCAATAACCTATCGACGGGCAGCAGTTCCTATCGGATTTATCTATCCATCGTCGGGAGGACGGATAGCGTGCTAAAGATAGAACGCTCATACAAATCGTGCTTACTTCCGTTTCAATATGAGTTTTAAGTAACTTTCCGGTAGGCGGCGCTATGTCTAGTATGGGCATTCGCTTATCTGTCAAATTCGGCCGGTTACATGTTTATCTTTCGAAAGTAAATCGCTATAATTTAATAATTGTTTCTCTTCATATTGGCATATTGTAGCAGTGATGATAGTGATATGGAATTATTTCAAATGATAATGGATTGTGATGCAGATAGTGATAGTGAGGCCGATATCATATGGTTAGGAAAATAAAGATCGTCTGAATTACATGGCGAAGATCAATAATTNTTCGTATTTGTAGTAGAACGAAACGTATCAAGAGGCTCGGATAAATCGGAGGGAAGAAGCTATCTACTGTTGGTTAAAGAGAGATAGCACTTATCCGTGATTGTGAAACGCAAACTAAGGATAGATACGCTCTTGCTGATATTCGGAGATAGCTATCTATCCGAAAACTCAGATACGTTATTGAAAACGGCCGTAAGTGACTTTATAGCACCGTATGTGCGATATGTGTATATACACCAAAGATAATATGGTACCTATAGATAATAAAAACCTAGTTTTAATTTTTACACATTACACAAAGTATGAATGTTAAGTTTGATTTTTGTTTTCAAAGTAATAACTTTTTGAAGAAAACTTCTTTAGAATCGCTGCGATTTCAAACCGGATGCAACGGAAAAAACGACAGGTAAGAGACACAAATACAAAAGAATGAGACAGAAATATACATACTATTTAATACAGCGCCATCTGTGAGATTTTTTAATACTAACGTGTGTATGAAAGCTCTTGTAGTGAATTTTAATTTAGGATTATACGTGAAATTAAAATATCAATTCACAGAGGGCGCTACCTTACAATNTGTATGAAAGCTCTTGTAGTGAATTTTAATTTAGGATTATACGTGAAATTAAAATATCAATTCACAGAGGGCGCTACCTTACAATTATTTACTAATGACAAAATTTTACATATACTTAAGACGTTTAGGATAATTGTATTTTAATTTTGGAAGGTTTCACTTCTACCACGTGTGAATTGCACACATGTATTTTTTTTTTGTTATCTTTGACGATAATTAAATTGTTCACTAACACATAATTGTACTTACTACACCTATATTATACTATTATCATTTCACTACATAATATAAAACAAAGTCGCTTTCTCTGTCTCTATATCCCTATGTATGCTTAAATCTTTAAAAGTACGCAACGGATTTTGATGCGGTTTTGTTTAATAGATAGAGTGATTGAAGAGGGAGTTTTATATGTATAATAACATCCATTAAATAGTGGAGAAATCAATAATAAATTAGAGCTTCCGAAGCGAAGCGAGGGCGGGTCGCTAGTATATACATAAAGGATGTTATTGTGTATAATATCACAGGTTAACATGTTCACTGCGGTGCGAGACCATAATGAGCAATGCTTTAGGTACTTTATATTGCGTGCGTTAATAAAAGTACTTATTCCGTAAAACTATGTCGTTCTAATCCGAGATTATGTTAGGAATGTTTTGACCTCACAACGCACTGAAACAATACTTTTGGGCTTTTTTATTGCTTAGATCGGTGGACGAGCTCACAGCCTACCTGGTGTTAAGTGGTTGCTGGAGCCCATAGACATCTATAACGTAAATGCGCCACCCACCTTGACATATAAGTTCTAAGGTTTCAGTATAGTTAAAACGGCTGCCCCACCCTTCAAACCGAAACGCATTACTGCTTCACGGCAGAAATAGGCAGGGTGGTGGTACCTACCCGTGCGGACTCACAAGAGGTCCTACCACCAGTGATTACGCAAATTATAATTTTGCGGGTTTGATTTTTATTACACGACGTAATTCCTTCACCGTGGAAGTCAACCGTGAACATTTGTTAAGTACGTTGTTTCAAAACTGATGAATGTAGATTGCGTTGTTTTTTTTTTTTTTTATTGCCCTTGTAGGCAGACGAGCATACGGCCCACCTGATGGTGAGTGGTTACTGTCGCCCATGGACCTCAGCAATGCCAGGGGCAGAGCCAGGCCGCTGCCTACCGCTTAACACTCTCCACAAGCCTCGTTTGAAGAAGGACACGTCATAGCGCTCAGGAAACACCGTTGAGGAGAGCTCATTCCATAGCCGGATGGTACGTGGCAAAAAAGACCTCTGGAAACGCACTGTCGATAAACGCAGCGGTTCCAGATAATATGGATGAACTCTGCTCCGATGGCGGGAGGTGCAGTGATAAAAAGGAGATGAGGCATCATCTCGAACAACAGTTGTGTAGAACACCGAAGTCGGCCAGCACCAAAAGTTCACGGAGTTACTTCCTTTCCTTTCCGTTCTACTTCAGTTCCAGGAGTGGAGGAGACTCTTGTAACGCGGAATACTTATCCGATGCGAATCCTCAAGTCTTATACTTCCTGTCCTATTTAAAAAGGCCGTAACATATTATTATATTTTTCTAAACTTCCTTTAAATGTTTTTATGTAAAATAATAAATAATGAGATTGATTCTAGTTATCTTCTTTCCAAAATTTCATTTAAATGTAGTCGTATTTCCGCGCGTTCTAAACAGACCTTACACATGTCCGCGGCTCGAACGAAATACGCTTCTAACTCTTTTGTCCGTAGATCTTGTAGGTTGTATGATGCCAAGTTCTCTAATGCTGACATCTTTTGCTTGTCACTTGTAGCATATAAAAAAGCTATTTTAAAATGTTTATAAGGTGATTTAGTCCGATGATTATTCTCTTATAGTTTAAGTTGATGTACAAAATAATATGTGGGTATTGTGTTGCTTTTGTTTTTTTGTAACTTTATATATATGTGATTTTGATTGTGGAAACATATTTGGTTATTGTTTTAGCTGTTTTTTTTAAATATTATATGTTTGTATTGTACCGTTTGTTTCCCAAATAAATAAATAAATAATAAAATTTGGTGCTACAATGATTCAATTTTTTTATTAGTAGCTAGGTGTTCAATGTCCTAAAGCACACTTAGATACTACGCTACTAAAATAATTCGAATAATCTAGTCATAATTAATATTATTGGACATGTAAATAAAACGTTTGTGTTTTTATATTATATGTATATTTGTTTATTTTAAAATATTATTTAAAAAAAAGAGCTGCATCGCCTTTGGCTTTTATTGTATAAAAATATTTTTTGTTTTGTGATTAAAAAATAATACACAATAGAAAATTGCTTTTATTTCAATACCTATAGAAAATAAAATAAAAATTCGATAAAACTGATCTTAGGATAAAACTAAAATGCAACATGCAACATGTTTTTTTTTTTTTTATTTAATGAAATGAAATATTTAAATAATTAAAAATTTAGCCTTTTTGAGATCAGTTTATCGAATTTTCAAAACCATACATTGAACCATAAAATTAATTTAAATAAGTATCGAGCTGTTTTTTTTTACACTTCAGCATCAATTTAAATATTTTTATTTATTTATTTAAAACATCAAATTAATATTGCAATCTTTGTCATCATCAACAGGCCGACAGACGTCTCCTGCTGAACATAAGCCTCCCCCCCCGAGGCTCCCCACAATAAAATTTATCTTATCTCCATTAGAGCTAATTTCACTAGTGATCACCCGATGTCACGTAGTAATCTGTAATCTATATAATATTATTATTACCTGAAGCAAATGGACATTTTGGCGGGAACACGAGTAGTGAAGTTGTGCGATTTGTTTTATTTTGTCTGTTTAGTGTTTCTTCAGGCTTAAATGTGTAATAACGGTGGTTTATTAACTGTTTAGTATCTGTGAAAGTGCAAAAATGTGGGATAATAAAACAAAGTCGCTGAACGTAACTTCTCGGGATCCTCCAAAAAGTTCACTGGAAAAGTCTCAGTAAATGACCACCATTTTACTGAGATTATATTATATTTTATATTTCATCCCATATCATCTCATTTCATTTCATTTAACCCCATATTATCATTTTTTCATAAAAATAAGAATATAAATTAAAATAAGACATGACTTAAAGGTCTTAGTTACCAGGTCATAAAATCCCTAAAAAAATAATCTATACTTAGTGTTGTTTTGGCGAAATCTGTTAATATAGAAGTATCATAATCTTTGACAATAGAACCACAATAATGTTAATTAATTATAGTCGAAGTTTGACTACTGGAGGACCATTAGTTCTGTTAAATAAGACTAAATACTAAAAACTACTTTCTTTAAAATTCAATATTGTGTGTAAAGTTTTAGTTCGTGTTAAGTTTTCTCGTTGTAACTTTAAGTGATGACTGTGGGCTCGTCCCGACCCGTGTATTGCTTCAAGCGGGATATGTCCAGGGCGATGCTGACGAGCGGACCCAGCGCGTCAGCAGCGGCGCCCCCCACGCTCACCGCCTCGTACGAGTCCACGTAGACTCTGTAACGTCCGCCGCGGAGTTGCTTACATATTTATATCGCAACTTTAGAATTATAGAGACCGGAACCAAAAAAAAAATAACGACCTGGTGTTAAGTGGTTACTGGAGCCCATAGACATCTACGACGCAAATGCGCCACCCACCTTGAAATATAAGTTCTAAGGTCTCAAGTATAGTTACAACGGCTGCCCCACCTTTCAAACCGAAACGCATTACAGCTTCACGGCAGAAATAGGCAGGGCGGTGGTACCTACCCGCGCGGACTCAAAAGAGGGCCTACCACCAGTTACTGGAGCCCATAGACATCTACAACGTAAATGTCGCCACCCACCTTGAGATATGAGGTCCTAATTCTCAGTATAGTTACAACGGCTGCCCCACCCTTGAAACCGAAACGCATTACTGCTTCACGGCAGAAATAAGCGGGGTGGTGGTACCTACCCGTGCGGACGCACAAGGGGTCCTGCCACCAGTAAACAATTACCGTCGCCCATGGCAACGCTAGAAGCGCAGCCAAACCGCCCACAAACGTAAGTAGCTTGATGTAGTATTCTCACCTGACGGTAGCGCCGGAACTGCCCGTGCCGCTGAGACGGAACACTATGCGGGATCCGTCTTCGAATATTATCCGCAGGCCCTGCAGCCAGACAACTCATTGAGTTTGCGGTGTCGGCTCACGGGCCGGCGGATCCAAGCCACCAGCTCTCACCAGTGCGTTAAGTGCGAGGTTTTGTAAACTTCTCGATCGCGTAAAAGTTAACTTGTACGTGCGCTTTTCCAACTTCATACAAATTTTGAGATTAGTTTTTCGAGAAGTTATAAAAAAAATGGTGCGCGTGCAAGAAATGAAACTTCTTTAGCGATGTGTGGAGTATGTAGCGGTTTTCTTCATCTTTCACCTTTAAATCAAATTCATCTTGTAATAGGCAATGCTGTATTTAAGAGAAACGACCTAGCTCGCATTGACCACTCCCTCTCCACGGTCGAGTGATTTGTGAGACGCTCTATTTTCTCACTCTCGCTCGTCCTAAATTGTATCTTTTCTCTCTAGCCGTAACGAATCTGTCGCGAGTTAAATTTTACTCTCAACGCGCCTAAAGAAGTTTCACTTCAAAAACTAGTACTAAGCACACAGTTGTGAAGGCCGCTAAAAGTACATACTGCCAGAGATCTTCCTTGAACTGCCGACAGCAAATTTCAACACAATCAAACGAAATATAACGTATCGATGACGGACAAACAAACATACGTTTTATTCATTAATAAAAAAAATAAAAACTGTCTGAGCAGTCTCTTGCTAGGACCAGTGTTAGCAACACCGGTTTGAGTCCCGTGAGCTCACCCACATGTTAGGGCGAAGCTGAAATAGCCTCTCAGGGCTATCAGCATAGGTAGAAAAAAAAGTTTTATATTACAACAGCTGCCCCGTCAACCGCCTAACTGCTTCACGGCAGAAATAGGAGGGGTCGTGGTGCCTACCCGTGCGGGCTACATTTCATGACCAAGTCAGTCCCAGTGCCCCTATGCCCCCCCAAGCGCACGCACCTGTCTCTTGGCCACGCTCTGATCGATGGGGTCCACGTAGGAGAAGTTGTCGGCTAGCTTGACAACGTACTCCTTGCCGCCGGCGGAGTGCGCCGAGCCCACGAACCCGGGCGAGGTCATGGTGCGCTCAAGGACGCTCATCATCTCCTCGCAGGACTCCGAGGTACAGTTCTCGTAGTCGTACCTGACGCAACGAGTACAACATGGTCCGGGTGCGAAACTCTTGTCGTTGTTGGAAGAATCGGTAAACAGCAATATCTATATCTACTGCTGCCATTATCGACGGTGACCACCATCAGACCGGTCGATGCTAATCTTATATCCAAACACATATCTTTAAATAGTACTCCACATTTGTCGCAGTCAATACCAGTCAATTACCTTCCTACTTCCAAGGACCCTGATGAAACCCAATTAGAATTTGAATGAAGCCTCAAGCTAGCAAAATGTAGATTAGCAATACCTGTCAGCGATGAGTTTAACTTCGTTAACGTAAATGGGTGAAACAGCTCAAGGTCGACCTTGTTTTAAGTGGTAACCGGAGCCCACAGACATCCACAACGTAAATGCCGCCACCCACCTCGAGACATGAGTTGTAAGGTCTCCGTTTTAACAGTACAACGGCTGCGCCACCCTTCAAACCGAAACGCATTACTGATTCACGGCAGAAATAGGCAGGGTGGTGGTACCTACTCGTGCGGACTCACAAGACATCTTACCACCAGTAAAAAGTAAGTTTACAGAATAAATCGACTAAATATCTGGAAATTTCTCATCTTCAAAATATACCTAAGGATAAAATCTAGAACGTGGGATAGTTGGCCAAGGCCCAGCTGTGTGAGCATGCATGACCACAAATGAGTCAATACAAAGCGCAAGCCCACTGAGTTTCTCGCCGGATCTTCTCAGTGGGTCGCGTTTCCGATCCGGTGGTAGATTCTGCGAAGCACGGCTCTTGCTAGGGTTCGTGTTAGCAACGTGGTCAGGTTTGAGCCCCGCGAGCTCACCTACTAATTAAAGTTACGCTGATATAGTCTCGCAAGGCTCTCAGCTTACGGTGACTACTCGGCACCCGTAGGAACCTGCAAGTCTGGTCGTGCCTTCGGACGGTACCTCGTGAAGTAGTTCCTCCCGAACTGTTTCCAGTGCGCCTGCAGCATCTCCTGCACGGACCGGCCGGAGTGCGCCAGGAGGGAGAGCCAGGCCAGCGCCGCCCACAGCCCGTCCTTCTCCCGCACGTGGTCGGACCCGGTACCGAAGCTCTCCTCTCCGCACAGCGACAGCTGACCCGCGTCCATCAGGTTGCCAAAGTATTTCCAACCTAATACGTGTTACATCTTAAGTCTATTTTAGTCGACTCCATTTTAATCTATTTATAAAGCGCCAGACATGCTTTTCATAGAAAATATGAAAAGACCAAATATCTACTAACGAGACATCATAAGCTGATCAAAATAAATAAATAATAGTTTTAAAAAACTAAAAAACACGCTTTATATAAAATTCAACTAATTAATAGAAAACAAATTTTAATTGAAAATAGTGTAAAAAAATATATATTTTATTGTAAAAAAAGCGTGGGATGTGAAAATGCGAAAGATATTATTGAAGTAATAATTCTTCTATTCATATCTGTCAGAAAAATATTTATAACTAATAACACCATGCACTTACACATGCATTATTTTGGCACTTTTGGTATAAATTAATAATCAAAATGACTTCTTGATCAATTTATTTCCTTGGAGATTTAAAATAATAGTCGATTTTTCTATTTTCTGTAATTAAAGAAATTTAAACAGTTTTTTTTTCGTGTGTAATATAATTATGAGTCACGCTTAGTCAAAATTTATATTGTTAGAAAAAAAAAATGTTTTTGGAATATATGACATATTATATGGCATAAAGTTTCCGCAATAAATTAGTTATTTTAATTTTGAAAAATAAAATATATTATTTAAACTATAAGTTTGGGTAAAATTCCAGTATTGGGGCGGATTTTTTTTCCGGTGCCCAGGAGCGGCATTAAGTTTAGATCCGGTCCTGGTCGTCACTCACCGGTGGGCACCTCGAAGAGGGGCAGGGCGCGCGCGGCCGCCACCCGGTCCACGGCGGCGGCGGTGGGCATGCTGCGCGCCAGCCCCCGCACGCCCCCTCGCGCGAAGTACGGTATGCACTCCAGATTGTCTGCCAGCACCGCCAGGGAGTCCGACGGCGTCACGAAGAACGCGTCCCGCCCTAGTATCATGTTGCGGTCCCCTGGCAACGGCACGAGCGATGCACATTGTTTTAATTTAGAATTGCATTTTTTTTTATCATTACACCTCCCGCCGTCAGAGCGGAGTTCATCCATAATATCTGGAACCGCTGCGTTCACCGACAGTGCGCTTCCATAGGTCTTTTTTGCCTCGTACCATCCGGCTATGGAATGAGTTCCCCTCCACGGTGTTTCCCGAGCGCTACGACATGTCCTTCTTCAAAAAAGGCTTGTGGAGAGTATTAAGCGGTAGGCAGCGGCTTGGTTCTGCCCCTGGCATTGCTGAAGTCCATGGGCGACGGTAACCACTCACCATCAAGTGGGCCGTATGATCGTCTGCCTAAAAGGGCAATAAAAAAAAAAGTTGTGGAGAGTATGGATATTTGGAAATCGGTGTTAAAGGCTGAAGATACTAGAAGCCTATACGGCTCAACTGAACTCTCGTCCAATGGCACGTAAAAAAACGTAGCCAAGGTAATGAGATTGTACAGTATACCGAAACGAGAATTAAGTTAGTGATAAAGAGAGATTGAAGTCTCATAATATATTGAATTGAGGAGTTTATCACAATATTTTCTTTTAATAGGTAATAGCGTGGATAAACAAACGACCTCGCGTCTGTCAAATGTTGTGACACATTAGCCGAAATTTTTCAGTTTTAATGGAAGTCTTAATGAGAAGTTTAAAGAAAATGTAGCAACCATTATCGTAGCGTGAACTAGACACAATTAAATAATATTATTCGTGTACTGTTGCAATCTTTGGAGGAGGCCTTTATCCAATCCGGGGTTCTTGCTAGCTAAATTTTACTGTTTTATTACAAAACATTAAAAGAGATTTTGCATCCTAAATACTAATACAGTTGTTAATTGTATCACCAGATACAAGTGAATCTGAAACTTTTTATTCAGCTAACAGCGACGATGGCGATATTAGTGTGCCTTCTTTAGCAGAAACATTGTCTTCACGGTTCTCTGGTGTTCCTAGGAATTTTAATGTCGTTCATATCAATGCCCAGAGTATTGCGGCTCATTTCCCTGACATGCTTGCAAGTTTTGATTCTAAGAATATCCATGCTATACTTGTTTCAGAGTCTTGGCTTAAGCCATGTCTTCCTTCTACATCTTATACCATTCCTGGTTTTCAACTCTTTAGGAACGATCGTATTAATGGCGGTGGTGGTGGCGTTGCCATTTATATCCGTTCGTATTTTAATTGTGCAGTTGTTAATGTATCGGCACAGCCTACGCCGCCATATGCGGGCGAGCACTTATTTCTTGAAATAGAACTTCAACACACGAAGATGTTACTTGGTGTTTATTATTGTCCTTCGTCAAGTATAGATTTCTTTACTTCTTTTGAAACTCTGCTAGAAAATACAATGCCTTCATATACTCATACCATTATCATGGGTGACTTTAACACATGCCTACTTAAAAACAATTCTCGAACCACTTTATTTCGCTCGATGATCGAATCAGTAAACTTAACTGTTCTACCGTTGAACTCGACTCATCATTTTCCAAACTGTGCTCCTTCACTTCTTGATCTTATTTTCGTTTCTTCTCGTGACCACGTGGCTGACCATGGACAGTGTTCAGCTGACGCTTTCTCATACCATGATCTTATCTTCGTTTCATATAAAGTACGACCTCCCAAAGCAAAATCAAAAACTCTTCTGCTGCGCAGTTTTAATGGTATGGATCTTGAAAGTCTTCGAGAAGATGCTGGCAGCATTGACTGGACTGCTTTGACGTGCTCTACCTCAATCAATGAGAAAGTTGATCAGTTCAATGCCAAGCTAACTGATCTATATGACAAGTACGCACCCTTCCGACCAGTAAGAATTAAACATATGCCAGCGCCGTGGCTTACTGATGAAATTAAAAGTCTACTGACCAGGAAGGCAGCTGCTAAATTAAAATATAAAAAAAAACCAACCTCTGACAATAGTACAAATTATCACCGAATCCGCAATCACTGCAACAGAGTGTGTAGGGATGCACAACGCCAGCATATCCATAGTGCTATCGAAAATGGTGATCCAGCTAGAGTCTGGAAATTTCTTAAATCACTGGGGATTGGAAAATTACAACATGACTCTCATCTATCACATTCGAGTATTGATTTATTAAATCAACATTTCTGTGCGTCATCCCTTTATGACGGGACAATTAAATCTAATACATTAAATCACATTTTATCTCTTCCGATCCCAAATTGTTCTCCATTTGTTTTTAATCACCTAACGGCTTGTGATGTTAAGCGGAGCATATTATCCATAACTTCCAATGCTGTTGGAAGTGACTGTGTGGCCCGTAATATGATCCTTCCTATCCTAGACCAAATCCTTCCCATTATTTGTCATATCCTGAATGAATCATTATCTAGCGGCATCTTTCCAAAGGCTTGGAAAGAAGCACAGATTACACCACTGCCAAAAAAGCCGAATCCTACATCCTTTTCAGAATACCGTCCAATTTCCATTCTACCGTTTCTTTCAAAGGTTTTAGAACGCCTGATTCACAACCAGCTCAGTGAGTTTCTTACGAGAAACGAGCTTTTAAACCCTTATCAGTCCGGCTTTCGTCCTGGCCATAGCACGGTCACAGCCCTGGTGCATATTACGGATGCCATCAGATTTGGCATGGAGAGTGGGAAACTGACGGTGTTGGCATTGCTGGATTTCAGTAATGCTTTTGGCACCGTCGATTTCGACATACTTCTAGCCATCCTTAGCTCCATTAACATATCTCCAACCGTGGTTGATTGGTTTCGCAGTTACCTGTCTGGTCGCCGACAGCGTATTCACTGTGAGAATGCTTATTCTTCATGGTGTGAAACGCACGTAGGTGTACCGCAGGGTGGCGTTTTATCTCCTTTACTCTTTTCAATTTTTATAAATTCTATTTCTTTACAACTTACTTCTTCCTACCACCTGTACGCAGATGATCTACAGATATATACGCAATCTTCTTTACCAGAGCTGACCAACGCGATAAAGATCCTGAACAATGACTTATCGATATTGTCCCGTTGGAGTAAGTCTCATGGATTGAGGGTGAACCCGTCAAAGACACAGGTCATTGTTGTCGGTAGTTCAAGAATGTGTTCGAAAGTTACATGGTCGCAGCTTCCGGCTATTTTATTTGACGGCGCACAAATTCCTATCAGCGATACTGTGAAAAATTTGGGTATCTTAATTGATAAAAACCTTTCATGGAACGCACAAATAAAAGAGGTTAGCCGGAAGGTGTTTGCATCAGCTGGATCGTTGAGACGGTTACGAAATTTTCTTCCAACTGCCACTAAAACTGCGCTTGCACAGTCTTTACTTCTTCCAATTCTTGACTACGCTGATTCCAGCTATCCGGATCTAACCGAAACACAACTTGATAAACTTGAGCGGCTACAAAATTTCTGCATAAGATTCATATTTGGGTTACGGAAATATGATCATATATCTGAATTTCGCACTAAGCTCAAGTGGTTACCAATTCGCCTTCGCCGCAATACTCATGTCCTTTCATTACTATACTGTACTCTCTTTAACCCCCATACCCCTACATATCTCAAAGAACGTTTCGAGTTCCTAGGTGATACGCATAATTTTTCTCTGAGATCATCAGATAACCTGAGACTGAAAATGCCGGTGCATTCATCATCATTCTTTGACAATTCATTCACCGTCCAGGCGGTTCGACTGTGGAATGCTCTGCCGAATGCAGTGAGAAGTGCTCCAACTTTAAACTGTTTTAAAAGAATGGTGAAGGAACACTACTTATCTGCTTAGTGCTGTTTGTTGCATCATTATCATTTATAATTTCCATACTGTTGATTTATTATGTGTGTGTAAGTATATTAGGAAGTATTGTATGTAAGTATGTATATTGGTATATAATAAATTATGTAAACGGTATATATCTGTTTATTATATGTATATATTTTCTATAATAATGTATTGTATATGGTACACCGCACCTGCTATATTTATTATATTTTACAGAATTTCTGTAAATTAAACGGTTGTCTGGAAGAGATCGCTTTTAGCGATAAGACCGCCTATTGTACATATGTGCTTTTTGACTGTTTGTTTTTTTAAAATGTAAATTGTGTTGGTGTGCAATAAAGTGTATTCTCTCTCTCTCTCTAATACATACATTTATATTTATTAATTTTTTTAAACTTTGTAAAAGCAACAAATAAATGGCTTATTATTATTATACTGTTGCAATACGACATTATATCTCGAGTTCCCAGCGCATACCGTCTCCGTCGAAAGCGGCCCCGAAGTCGTAATCCCCTTCCTTGACAGCCTCGACCAAATCCGCGGCATACGTCAAGTTCGGATCCGGATGAGCCCCGCCGAAGTCTTCCAGGGGCACGATACGTCGAACGTTCTTCTCGGAACAGCCTAGCTCCTCTAAGAATATCCGCTTCACGTATGGTCCGGTTACTGGGGAAGAGTTTCAAAAGTCATCCCAATTGACTAGTCACTGGGGAGCTTATTTTACGTTCGTATCCGTTAGGCAAACTTAATGCGCAGCTCTGACAGAGACACGTGCAGAAATAAGTCGTACATGGGAAATACCAAACCATTATTGAAGTGAAACTTCTAACCATACTAGAAAGAGACAGAGCGAAAGTGAATGCGTGGCACTCGAGCGCACGCGCGTAGTATACCTGTTACAGGCCAGCGCGAGCGTTAGCAACGAGTATCGTCCAATATTTTATGAAGTATTTAAAAAAATATATGTATTTATTTTTCTATCTATAATTTAAAATATATATGATGTAGTAATTAAATAAATAATATATAATGTATATAAATGTTGAATATGTCGCATTTCTTATACACAACATTCCCTATTACAAGGGCAATCTAATTTAAGGATGAAAAATGAAGAAAGCCACAATACTACACATCGAAAAGAAGTTACACTTCATTCACGTGCACCAAGTTGCACGCGCACCAATTAAAGGGCTTTATTATTATTATTATTGTTATTTTTATAATAACAAGCTAATAAAACACCAAATATCAGTTTAAGTGCATTTACAGTTAGACAAACAGATAATAAAATGGACCTTCACTGTTGTTTTTTGTTTACTCCTCTCTCTTTGTCTTTCTGTCAGTTTATAGGATGCTATAAGTCCGCGTGGGTGGAGACCACAAACGTATTTTTGCAGGGAAGCAACATGTCTAACGATTTAGAAACTTAGTTATCCCCCCTAGGGGCTGAAACTCAAGTGGATCGAAAAAGCATTCGCGAAATAATTAAAAAATATATACATACGACTTATTTTACGACACAGTGATGTGATAATATTACAGACCTAATGAGGTCAATAGCATGCGATAAAGTTTTCTTGAAGCAAACTTTGATAAAATTCAATATTTAATTTGTATATTTTCGATTAAATTTTTCGCACAAGGAATATTATATTCAAATGATTTTTTTAAAATGGAAAATGTTTAAAAATACTTCTCAATACTATACTTACTTACTATACTTGAGACCTTAGAACTTGTATCTCAAGGTGGGTGGCGCATTTACGTTGTGGATGTCTATGGGCTCCAGTAACCACTTAACATCAGGTGGGCTGTGAGCTCGTCCACCCATCTAAGCAATAAAAAAAAAAAAAAAAAAAAAAAAAA